TCCCTTCCAACCCAAACCATTCTATACGAGATATAAAAAAAATAAATATATAACCCCTTTTTTATTTAGCCAAAGCTACACCTATGAAAAGATACTGATCTTATTTTAGCATCTAGAAGCCCCAGGCATAAACCAGAGCCCAGTGGGTTAGGTGACATGCAAAAGCAGAGTGCATAACCTTCATCCCCCCCAGTTTACCAGCTAAGAGCTCAGGGAATTGAGGGACTTAAAGCACACACCAGTCTCACCACAGTACCCGTGTAACCTCTACGGTGTTTTTAGACCTCCTGACCATTTTAAGAAGGGATTTAATAAAACCAGCAAAGTGTCTTTATAAATATTTAAGCAGATTCCTATTTTACTGGAGCTTAAAGGACAAACAAGAGAAAGCATAATACTTTTAATTTGAAAATGTAATACATGTCTAATTGAACTTAGAATTCAATCTGTACTGAATGAGCGATCACAGGGTGTGTATTTCATGATCAGAGATGCAGTTGTATTTACTGCAAGTACTTAACAGTGGATCAACAAATAGAGATTTACTAGACATGTTTCCAAGCTATTTTCTGGTGTATTTTGACACATTGGATCAAGAACTTGTGTAAGGAAGGAAAAAAAAAAAAAATACAGAAGGATCACTTTCTACCCAGACTTACAAATGAAACAGTTTACTCACTAAACAAGCTCTCCTGGCTTTTACATAAAAGGGTGCTGGACAAGGCAAAGTTTTCTCCTGCTTTGAAATTTCAGGATTGACTTTTCACTTAAATAGCACAATTTCATGCTACAAGAGCCTTACAAAAAAACCCCGAAAAACCAAACCGAACCCAAACAAACCAACCACCAAATCCCTCCAACTTTGAACACGCAGTGCTTCACATGTTTAAACATGAAATGTACAGAACACTGTGTCTTTAAGCCAGTGTTCTCTGGCTGTGGCCACCACCAGATTTGTCAGATTCATCTCTTTTAATTTTGTACCTTCCCAATAACAAGTCTTAATATATTTTTTCCTAGAGATTTCCTAAAACATTAAAACATGACCAGATTTTATCTTGAGCCATGAAAAAGAGGCACTGCTGAAAACTGGAAGAATACTTTTGAGAATACGTGGGACACCATTGCTGGTGTAAGGAGGCACTTTCATGTGTGAAAGGTGAACGTGGATGCATTCACTCTTCTGTCAGGGAGTGCAGTAACTGCAGCATTAGCTTCAGTCTCTTACCTACTACCCTCATATCTCCAGTTATACACAAGATGTGAATAGCCAGAACTTATTACTAGCTAGATGGAGGCCCTCTGAGGAAAAAAACACAACTCACCAAAAAAAACAAACCCCAAAACCTGCAGAAATCAATTTACTTTAAACCACTTTTTCTAAAACAGTCCAAAATCCCTGCCATGACTGAACAAATGCCATGTCAGAGGAGTTAGAACACAAATCCTGTCGCTGTGAATAAACAGAACAGCAATGAGGAATAGATCAGGTATCAGCAAAACTGCAATGGTGTCAATACCACACATGCAAAAAAACCACCCACACCAGTCAGCAGTCACTGCTCCTTAAAGAACTCCTTTGCAGAACCTCCTGGCTGCTGCCAAACCTCTCCCTCTTCTGGCCAAGGGCAGATCAGCCTCCTGCACCATGATCCAACCCAAAGGACACAACACTTTCTCTGCAGTGCATGTGGCTAGAGAAAGCAAACAAAAATACATTCTCAAGAATGAGCAGAGTAAGACAAACCATGGATAAAAATGTGGCACGCTCCAGCCACGACAATACTGAGAAGGGTGAACTTGTACAGCCACTGGCCAGAGCAAGTTGTGCAAGATGCCACCACTTTTTTTTCCCCTCTTTATACATATATAGGACTCTGTCTCTCTCTGTATATATATATCACTGTGTATATATATCTCCACATAGATACTTGAATACACATATACATAGGTGTTATTTCTGAAGAAAACTCTAGTTAAGCAAGAAGTTTCACTGGCAAATTTAGATCCAGCCTTACTCCTGCTTTTCCTGCTTGTTAGCTGGTATTAAGCAGTTCATTCTCACCGTGGGTGCTGTCCTGTACACTGGAGATGCAAAGTAATTCATCACACATCCTGAGTTCTCCAAAAAAAGCTTACAGATTCAAACTTCTCACTGCAAATATTTCCTGACCACCACCTGCACTTTCTGCAGTTCACTACATTTCAGGGTAATTCAATTAGCTGTTTGAGCAGGAAAAGGCAGAGAAGGCAACAGTATAAAAGGAGACAAAAATCAAGAGCAAATGAACAGCAATTAACAAGTTTTATCATTTTTCAAATCTTGAGATCTTTGGAAAACAGTAAATAACAGAAGATGGAAAAAAAAATATAGACACTAAAAGACAGCTCATCTTTCTCAGCTTCAGCTGCTAGCAGTACCATGCAAGTAGCTTGCTATTTAGACTCATTAGTGGCAATGATTCAGTGACAGAATGCTCAGATTTTGCACAAATGATAGAACATGATAAAACAGAAATTCCCATAGTATTACTGAATCAGCAGAAAGCGCTCACAGCAGTTTCCAGTGGAGTGGGGATGTCACTTCTTACAATGGCTTCCAGTCCCTTCAGCCCAGCACTGATAAAACCCCCAAACCAACACCCATCTGAACTACTCACTGTCTTCTTCCAGTCAGATCTCACACAAAGAGCACCCGCAAGCTTTCATTTCAGCTCTTTTGCCATCATCTCTGCACAGCAGCCACCGTTCCCCAGCAAAACTCAAAGAGGAATGGACTGCCAGTCTGAGGAAGAAGAAACCTGTGAAGAACAGTATGACTCTGAAAACTGCACCTGCAGCTCTAAGCATGACTCAACAGCAGGATCCAACTCAGGTTTAATCCAATTTAAATACTGCAATAGCTATGGCATGCTAGCATTTCATAGCTTCATTTTTATCTGTCTACAAATAAGAGATGTCACAAAGTCGCTCTTCCTTTTGACCTCCACTTTATCCCACCCTTTCCCCTTATGTTTCTGTTTATTATCAGAGCAAGTCTACAAAAAGGACTACCTCTGTAATTAAGATGTATGTGTGAAAAGGTCTCTGAATTTTATGTAGACATCTAAGAATTATTTCTCAGTTGGAATCAGAGATACAATTATAATACGAATTAATTGGGCCAGCACTGTCAAAGCTGTGGTGTTACCAATTTCAACAGGCTAAACTGCTCAAACACCTACCAAGGACTCCTGGCAGCCATCAATTAAAATCCATGCAAGCCAGAGCAAAATGTTTATTTCAGTGTACATTCACTGAATAGCTCTGTATGTGTCAATATATAATTAGGGAATCTTACAGCTCTCCTTTTGAGGGAAAATGGCTAAAAAATAACTATTAAATAAAGATAGTTTTTCTTCAGTGTAAGAGGTAAATCCTAAATCCTTATTTTGTAGAAAGCAGCTTAATGTTCTACGTCTGTTACCGCACAAATGAAGACTACAGCAGAAACTCCTACATAGCATAGTCAGGCATAGTATTAACTAGGGCATACCCCAATATGCAAGCTAACTTGGTCTTGAAAGTCTTCTGTTATTAGCAGAGTTATATATTTGAATTAGTAGGTTTTTTGTACCTGCAAATTGCCCCCATGAACATTCAGAATGGCAGAAAATGAGCATTGCTCCTTTCACTCCCTGTCCAGCCAGCATCATCCACTCCTGGACAGCAATGAGTCTCAAAGCTGATGGTCCTACAGCTTTTCTAGTCCATGTGCCTATGTCCTATTTTTGAAAAATACTTTTTACCACTTAACTTGTTCCATATAAAAATACAAGTTTTATCCTTTCCCTGACAGATGCACCAGTAACTCTGAAAATACTACAGAACTGGGTTCCTAGAGTCTCACACTACTTTGATAAAGAGCACTACACATACGTTGGCCACCAGATCGTCATTCAGGAGTCCATAGAATACTTAGGAGCTGTGGTATGGCCAGGGGTAAGTAGGTGACATGCCACCCAGAAAGCTGACGCGGCAGAAGAGGAAACCATGACAGTGGCACACTAATATTAAGGAAGCTCTCCTAGATGGCACTTCTGACAGTGGAGGTTTCCCTGTGCAGAACAAAGTGGTGACGTACTTGAGCAGAAACCTCTGCCTCACACTAATTTGCCAGTTCACTATGGCACCTAAGTATTTGTAAATTGGATGTTGATACTGGAAAAAAAAAATCAAGAAAAGGAAACACAGGAAGAAGTGTTCAGCTTCCTCCATGTTTCCAATCACTGCTGGAAGTACACAATCAGAAGTACAAAAAGGAGGCTGAAGAAGAATATTCTGAGGGATTAAATAAAGGCAGTTAATGAAATATGCTTCTTTTAAAGAACAGGCTGCAACAGTTCCATTGCAGTATGAAAAATCACACTTGCAAACAGTTCTTCAGTCTTTGCTTCTCTTGGAAACAGAATTCTATGTGGACTGAGAAAGCCACCTTTGAGGGAAGAGAGGGTCAGCTGATGAAGACATGAAAATCACAATTTCAAAATTTTTCAGATCCACATTTATTGAAAAAGGTCACGGAAAATGGCAGACAATTTCAAAACAATAGAGAAAAAGAAAGTGTATGGGTGGGTGAAACAGAATCTTATTTTGAAAAGTCAGCTCATTAGTTCTCATATTAATCAGGTGTCAGAATGCAGACAGTCAAACTTTCCAAGAAAATCAAGAGGTTGCACAAACTGGACTGGTGATTCATTAGGTATCAGCTCTCCCAGAGCAGGTAGCCAGTGTTGCCAGATGAAAAGCACAAAAGTTAAACAGTAACAGTAACAAAACTCTAAAGAAGAGAAGCAAAGGGGGGAAAGTTCATGTCTTTGGCATCAGTTTATTTTATAAACAGCTGACTTGAGTTGATCTTTACAAAGTTCTGAGAACCAACACTTCCATACAGTGCTGTTCTGTTTGTGTTCTGGGCTGGTTTTTAAAAAGTTTCATTCTTAGACAAGTGTTGAACTGGTAAATAACAATTCTTTAATACTTTGCAAAAAAGAAAAAGTAAATTTAAATTGTTTTTTGTTTTTGTTTTTGTTTTTTTAAAAAACACTCTGCTGAAGCCTGAATCTACTTTATGATAGTGATAACAAACCATAAAATTTATGTAATAAAGCAGAACATTACTTTTTACATATTGTCAAATCTCATTTGCTGTTCTGACTGTATGGTTCACATCTAAACACTGCCTACCTTGAGCTGTCAGAAGACTCACAGTGTATAGAAGTGTGTAGCAAATCCACATCCCATAAAACAAAAAATAAGCCGTTTTAATTTTTTTTTATATAAAAACCAGAACACCTTTCCATATTACATTTTTATGTTACAGCTTTCAGTGTTTTTCACTGTATAAAAAAGACCCAAACTCTGTATAAAAACATCTAATGATTTTTCGTGCAACTTACCTGTTACCCTCTTACAGATATGTGTTAATCGTTCTAGGCACTGGCTTTGTCTCAATATCTGGAATCAAATCAAGAACAATTCAACCTCAAAGACAAAAAAGTTTTGGAAATAGGCGCTGGAACAGGCTTGGTTTCTATTGTGGCCTGTATCTTAGGTGAGTAAGTTTGTATTTCCTTTTGGCTTTCTTGAGAAACATGATCTAGATCTATCACTGTCCCTTTAAGGCAATGAAGAAACATTTGAAGTAAATTTTGGTTGTCACTACTTTTATTTAAAATTAAAATTATTGTAAAATACTGTTTTGTTAATAAAATAAAGTAACTACCCTAGTTATTGGTGAGGGGGAAGTTATGTAGACACCTTTATTTATATGGATATATATGTATATATATTTTCAACTACATACCAATGAATTTAAACAAATTCATGTTTTCTTTAGGAGCTTATGTTACAGCTACAGACTTGCCTGAAGTTCTTGAAAACCTCTCATATAATATTTCAAGAAACACACAAAGCACGAATATGCACAAACCTGAAGTGAGAAAACTGGTATGGGGAGAAGGCCTCAGTGAAGACTTTCCTGTATCCACTTACCACTATGACTTCCTACTGGCAACTGATGTTGTGTACCATCACACAGCTTTGGATCCTCTGCTAGCAACAATGGTGTATTTCTGTCAGCCAGGAACAATAATATTATGGGCAAATAAATTCAGATTCAGTACAGACTACGAATTTTTGGAAAAACTTGGCCATATATTTAATACAACCATTCTAGCAGAATTTCCAGAATCAAATGTCAAGTTGCTTAAAGCCACAGTAAGAGAAAATTAAAGAGAAAACCATCACTAATTTTGATTTAGTGGCAGCACCTTACAGTTTGGAATGTTTTGTAGCATTACAGTGTACCTTCTGTGTATTTATGTTTGTAAAGTTGCAGCTGTATCTGAGGTTTGCATTACAAGTTATGAAAAAACTGGTGAGACAAATGATGTATTAATTTGTCTCTGCTGGATAGGTAAAACCTGTTCAAACAGACCAATTTCACTCTACTGAAGGAACAATGTTAGTAGCAATAGGTGGTAAAAAGGGTTTAACAGAAAGCATTTATCTTCTAGGCTGCACTGAGCTTCTGTTGTTTGTAAGGTCTCTTCTTGCAGCAAGTTTCATTTATGTACTCCTTCAGAAACCAGTACAATTTTTAGCTTTGTTATTTGTTTTTATTATAAAATAAACTTCTAAAGTATCAGAGTGCACATGGTGGGTTTTGATCTTCAACTCTGCACGTTTATTCTGGTGTTTTACATTTTTAAACATTATTAAACATATATGTATAGCTTTACAATACCTGATCAAGGTTTAACTGTCTGGCACTTTTATACATGTATCAGCTTGTCCTGATACTCAACTTCACATGGATTTTTGAGTTTGTCTGAAATCACTCCAAAACAAAGATTTACAAGAGCACCTATGCATCAGCAATTCTGAGTTACACATTGTAAAAGTTTGAGAGGTTGAATTTTTCTTAAAAAAAAAAAACTAAATGTAAACTCTTGCAAACAATACAGGTAACAATGTCCCATTACTTTTGTCTAATAAATAAGACTAGCTACTCTTAAAGTAGCTTTAAGGCCTTCATATAACTGAAATTAAGATCAAAGGTTATAATTAATTTTACTGTAAAAAATACAGAGCTTTTACAGGTTTGCTGTTAAAAGTAACTGTTAAGAACCTAATATGCATGCAGTAAGCCTTCCCAGCCTAATTCCAAATCCTTGGTGTTGGCAGTTCTGGCACATCCATTGCCAGCAATGGGATGATGCACAATAAGGAAACTCCTTGATGACAGGAGTTAGGGTTAACAGGTATTAAGCTGTACCCAGGTGCCTTTACTGATAAATACACACAATTTAATAATCAGCATTCAGGAGTGAAAACATGCTTTCCAATAAAAAGTCAAACTTATCTTTTAATATCCTGCCCATATAAAATCACTTTAAGTTTACAGTTGTTGGGTTTCTAGAATACACAGTAATCAGGTGGATACATGACAGGAAGCCAGTTTTCAGTGAAAGTTGCACAGTGAGTCCATCCAAGCAACTTCATTAGCTGAAGAAAAAAACATAAACATTAAAAAAAAAAAAAGATGAGAAGCTCTAAGGTATCATTCTTCTTAATATTTAAATCCTTCCAACACTGCTTTGATATCAACATCTTAGTAAAGAGGTCTGTTATCAAAAAAGATAACATACTGCAGAACTGGTGATCTTGAATTACTTCTGAAAGGGGAAAAAGAAAACCATTCCTATATTATCTACAGTCTTTCAGTTCAATACACAGAAATTTTGTCCTAGGAGTTACAGTAATTTCCATTAGTTCTCCACCTATAGTCTACTAGCAATAACTGTGATTAATAACAGTAAAAATAACAGTGGTTAAACAGCAAAATCATGAGATTTTAAATATGCAGAAGATTGCTGGTATCTTTAAACCTCAGACTGAATTCCAAAAAATAAATCTGCTAAAAAGGCCAATTATTCACAAAGTAGCTATTCTAGAACAATAAATTAAAAAATCACTATTAAAAATGGAGCTTAAGCCAGAAAAGCCTGGATAAAGCTAAAAATGTTAAGTTTACTGAGTCCTATGGTGTAAAACATATCAAAAATAAGGATTTAACACCTTACTTTTAAAAGCTCTCAGTGTTAGCATAGGCCATTACACTACCAAATACACCTTACCTGAATGCAGTTCTTCAAGTTGTCCTTCGTTGGCTTCTCTTCTGCAAGTTTTGTGGCAAACTTGAGACCTCTCCCGTACATTTTATTTACCAATGCATGCTTATAGGCAAAAGTCAACACCTACAACATGAAGACAAAACCAAATTAGATACTTGAACACTTTAATCTTAGAAGGCTTAACAAGTAATAGAAGATTATGTTCAGGTAACAGAAGTGACTTCAAGTAAAGCATTTACACAAGATAGCTTTCATTTTTCTTTGTGGTAAAACAGATGATTCACAGTAGTAGTCATAAACATTAACTTCCTAGAGACTATTTCTGACTTCATGAATATATTGACTTCAGAACATCTTATATAACAGATGTCACCATTCTAATTTTTTAATTCACCACATTTCTAGCTTCTTTAGATTTTCATTCTCTTGAGGCAACTGTATAGTGTGTGTGTGTGTACACATCTATCTATCTATATATAAAAGAAATTAAAATATAAAATCAAGAACCAGGCATTTATATCTTTGACCTAGAGAAACAAAGACCAAATAGAGCTTTTTGATTCCTAGGAAGTCACTGCAGAAACATGTATGAACCTAAATAATGAATGAGATCTATATCCACACACATATAGAGAAACACACGTAATTATAAACAAGCAATGAAGACAGATAAGCATGAAGACAAGCCTCAGGTTTTGGGTCAGTTCTCACTATTGGTAACTCATTAAGAAGACATTATCAAAAAAGCTTTCCCTTGATGAAGATTCCAGAGAGACAGCTTATGGTACTTGCCAGTGCTAGAACTAACATGCACAAATGGATGTGTCTGAGTAAGAGCTAATGTAAAATAAGTCAGGTTCTTAACACCCAAACACTGACAGTGTTCAGAGTGGTGCTACATCATTCATCCATTTAACCACTTACAGCTCCTAATGCAATCAGGACTTTGTGGGATATATTCCCTTCAGAACATTCACAGTAAATAGGTTTCTTTAATTATTTTTTACTGAAGAACTATATCGCAGCAAAGCTGGTGAACACTGTGGTGTTTCTGTTGTTGGCAAAGTTTCTGGCATCCCACATCAGAATCTGCTATTCATTTACTCTCTCTCATTACAATATTTTTCTGACTCCTCCAAGAAAAGTACATTTTCCCACTGTCTACTTAAAATATCCCGTTAAGTAAAGCTAACAAAAAACACTTTAAGGAAGTCCAAAACATTTTTTTTCTATAATGAAAAATATTTAAGTCTTTCTTATAAACACAGACATTAAGGAATCTGAGATCTGAATTCTGCAAGAACTAAAGAACCTGCCTAATTTTAGCTGCCTGAACACTTCTAATGAATGTTAATCACATGCGCAAGTCTTTGAAGGATCGATACTTCAAAGATTGAGCTAAAAAAAGAAAAGAAATAACAAGCTTAATTATCAAGCAAGTAAAAGTGTAATTTTGAAGCTCTAAAGTACATGTCAAGCACTCAGTCGCTCGTTCTTCTTCTGCCTTCAAGTACTTATTTTGTTGGGTTGAAGTATTCACCTAAGTTGTAGGAGCTTACAACACACACAGAGATGCAACAATGAGCTCACAGCACCATTCACAGAGATTTTCCAAATATTGCTATTGGAAAAATACTTTGCATGCTGCATTCTCAATCCAATTATTTTGGATCTTTTCCTAAAGCAAAACACATTAGCAAACACTTTTGCATAACTGCTCAGTGGATCCACGGGCAGATTTAGTTGGTTAAACTAAGCTTAAACAAAAATCCCTTTTGTAAGATGATAGAACCACAAAAAAAAAAAAAAATCAAATGAAAAATGCATTGGAGCTCTCAGCAAATACAACATATTGGTGGCTAACCAGAAATAATGTCACTGCTCTATTAGGAAAGCTCTTACCTGACCCTGTAAGTTTTGAATGGTTACTGACCATCAGTGATAAAGGCAGGAGGAAAGCCACTTGACAGCATTTCTTTCGTAACAGGCCTTCCTAGAGTTTTTGTGGCAAGAAAACAAAGCATTTTACGAAACACCCTTGCTCTGGCCAAATAAAAGTTTTGGGTATTTCTAAGTGAGAAAAAAGTTCTCTGCTGGACCAAAAGTTTGAAAACAATGCTCTAAGAGCTCTGGGTAAAAGACAATTTCTTTTTTAGTGCTTGGAAAAAAACACCCCAAACAACTGCATACAATTTAAGTAAAACTACTAAAAGTTCATTAGCATTTCAGAAGTTAAGAATAATACACGAGATGCTTTAAAATCAGAATTGGTTTACAAAGAAAAAATGTTAGGTGAGAAATAATACTTCAGAAGTTGTACACATTGAAATTAAGCCTTACAAGTGAAAAACTGCAAGCTTTACAAGATCATGGAAGCGGACATTATGATCCCTTGAGACATTTAAATAAAATGTATCTTAATAGCACTCCAGTTTACAACAGACAGAAGAGCTGCTATCTGAATGTATGACAACAGTTAAGAAACCAATCTGTAGTATCTGAAAGCACAGAAATGAATTCTAAGTATCTGATACTATTTCATAATTTCAATAAATATTATAAAGGTAAGCTTTCACAGAACAATTGATATGGCTCAGAAACTGGCCAAAGTGATAAAAAAGGGTAGTAAGGAAAGGCAACATTTAAGTGTAGGATACTGGGGGGTACTCACTGTTACATACTTTATTCCCCAATGTAATGGCCTATAATACTAAGTGTGCCAAGAGCCAGACCCATAGAATTGCTGAGATGTCCATCTCCTAATTGACTACATAAATATGCATATTTATGACAGTAAAATGCTGAAACAATCTCTCCCAAGACATTTGCAGGACTGAAGTATTCAAAAATCTGAAAACAGTCTTAAAAAATGAATACTATTTGGATCCAGCAACACTACCTAAATAAAACTTTTCAAGCATCCTAATACTATTGCCTATAAAAAGGAAAACAGACCTGTGTAATCAGTGACTTCCGTATTAAAACAGTTGGTTTGAATGTATCTGCATTTACAAGTAACTAAAATACTAGGTAAAGCACTATAATCTATAGATAACACTCAAACTGAAGTTGTATGTTTACAATTACCAGCAAATTTTTTTTTCAAGTTCATATACATCTATGGTAATAAACTAAGGTTTCTTAGCTATGTTTATTGACACCTACCTACTCTATCAACTGGCCTATTAAAAACAAATGGAATATTCTAGTAAAAAAATAATTTACTCATATTTCCAAGAGAAGGGAAATTAAAGGAATCAAGTATTCAGCAACAGCTTTTTGGCAGTGACTTAACACGGTCAGCTAGAAGAGACAGCTGCATCTGACAGAGCAGACAGCAATATGAAAAAACAACTCAGGCTAAAGACATTTAAAAGACAAGATGGAAAGATCTGGGCCTTTTATTTGTTTGTTTGTTTGTTTGTTTGTTTAAAGTCATTTACAAATGTGACTTTTTGCTTTTCCCCAACAGCTGATTTCAAGGTTGAGGGAAATGAAATTCTACAGGTGAGTCATTCCCAGTAACAAACAGGCAACATCTCACTACTCTTCAGTAGCAGTTTTGTTTAAAACTGGGGATTTTGGCCTACAAATTTTAAAGCTATGTTCTAGCTGAAAGAAAAATTACACAACTTATATTCCATTACTAAAAACCCTAAAGCACTACCACAAATGTGTTATCATGATCAAATACTTCCTGCATAGAGGTGTCTCAGTTGGAGTTTATTTTAAATACTTTTGTGTACACAAGGGACATAAATTTTCTTTCCTGTTTCATTTAAAATCAACCTTCAGAGACAAGTGAACTACCTAGAACAGCTGAAAGTGTCAACAAATGCACTCACTGTCAAAAGCCAGCACCAGCTCCCCTACGTACTGGCTGCAATGAGGACACACAATTTTTTCAGTGGAAGATAGGCAGTTCAAAGGGACTAACAAATGCCCTTTGATAGTACTTGGTTTCCTACAGGGTGAGCAGAAATGCACAGAAGAGTGGTCTCTGTCTTCAAATCACTGACATCTAGATGAATTTTTACTTATATGAAGTTTAAAAGTAAAACCCATTAGAACAATGATTCTGTCTAAAGCCACGTATATGCCTGAGTGATCCACGGCCACATACAGAATGACCTCCACATCTTCCTTCCCAACATAGTGCTTTAGAATAAGCTGGCTGCCTCTTGAGGGCTCTGGTTTGAAGGACAATCACACAAAGTGTATCACTCATGCTGCATCTCTACTCCAACCCTACCCTTCCTCCTTCCAAACCTTTTCTATTCCCCAAAAGGCAAATGAGAGTCATGCAAGGTTAGTATGGCATCAAGGATAAGGCAAACTTACCTCAAAACTCTTGCAGACCCTATGGTGGAGATATGGGAGGAGTGAGTGCTCTTGCATGGGTGCTGGCTGTGCAGTGGGGATAGTGGAGGAGTTGGTGGGCTCTAGTGGAACAGGGCCAGCCAGCTCTGCTCCCCTGACTCCAACAGAGCATGCAGATGGACAGGATCAAATACTGGCTGGGCACTTTATGGGGGTACCTGACCTCATTTTGAGAAGATTCTCAAGTCTGTGATATGCATACATGACTTAGAGACCAACCAGCAACTCAGATACTCCCTCAGAGGAGGACAAATAGCTATAAAACCCTCGAGACACAAGAGAAGCATGACCAACCCACTCCCTTCAGACCAGGACCTCGACTCAGGACAATGCTGCTGGATCCACAGGTGGTGATACCGTTGCTTTTCTCTTAACTTTCTCCAATCTTTCTTTCCTCTTCTGTCTTACTTTCTAACTCTCTTCTACTCATTTTTTTACTCAGATTATTGAGATTAAGTGGTGCCACGTTTTTAGCCTTAGACTGCAAGGAGGGAAAGGGGTATTTGACCACGTGCCTTTATCCACTGTGCTTATTGATTGTCATTAAAAAAACTTGTGTTGTTTCCTGAGTCATTGTCATGGCTCCCCCACTTCCGTGGCCCTCACGTGCAGGGACAGCCCATTTTCAGGGGACTACAAAGATTCACCTCCCTTGTCACCCACCAAGTGGGACGAGACATATGATTACCCCTAAATGGCCAAAACTTCAAATCTTCCTCTAATAGTCTACAAAATACAATTATTTGCACCAAGCTATCCAATTTGTTTTTGAAATGGCAAAATACTCTGGAAGTACAATGGCTTATTGCATGCAACACTGAGGTGGAGATTTGTACAACTGTTTCTTCCAAATAGACAGAAGAAGCTGCAAAGGCAAAAGACCAAAGGCCACTGCAGGTATTTAAAACATTCTACCGGCCCACCTCAAGGGCAGAAGGCACTTATTATTGAGAAAGGAAGCTAGAGAGAGACCTTTAAGCACATTCCCACTTACAAAACTTGTCAGGCATTATAAATAAAAACAAATGAATACTGATCAGACAGCTTGAACATGTGATACAGTGTGGTAGAGATTGGTGCAATGAAGGAGTATTAAGCTAATTTTTGAAGAAAACTTACAGCCCATGACATGTGTACAGCTATTCTCACAGTTTACAACAGACAATAGGAACGTACTGTAAATCTTTTTCTCTTTTTATGCAGTCTTAGTCATTAAAGTTAAATAAAGCATAATCAGATCCTCATCATAGGTTTATGATTTTGAATGACCAAAGAACAGTCTGTCATTGGTTGGAAACTGTAGTGCTAACAACTGAAACAGCTCACGTGAACAATGTAACTGCTAACTACAGACAGTTCCTAAGAAAACTTCTAGGTGAACATGACACCTCTTAGTAAAGGAGATGAAAGAATCTGAACAGCAGTAAGCATGAAACTCCTAGGAAGCAATAAAAGAAAAAAAAAAAGTTTTTCTCTCAGTTACATGTAAAGCCCTCTGCCCTTGCCCTAGTCTCTTTTCCCCAAATCTGTTATCAGGAAAAAATTTTTAGAGAGCTCTATTATATCCTTTCTAAGCAAATCCCATCAAGGCCCAAGTCACATTATTCTCACTCCTCATCCTTTCAAAGAGTTTCCAGAAAAAGAAATCCTCAAAGTATGAAAGCAAACAAGTAGAATTCTCAGTTCCAATAATCACATGAAAGCTTTATGTAGCAGCATGTATTTCCTTCCATTCAAACACATTTTTAACCTTATCTATAGGTACTGTTTGGATTAGAATTATTGAACAGCACCACAGGAGAGATGAGAGAGTACATCCATCATGTAATCTTTAAATAAATTAAATCGATAGCTACATCATTACTGACCAACATACATACTCTTAGACCACAGAAAGCAAGAAGCAAACCACCACAGAAACTAGTGAGCTACAGAAATTACTTGCCAAGCAGTCACTAAATCACAAAATGGTTGAAAGCAGAAGAGAACTCTGGAGCCTGTCTAGTCCAGCTCACCTCAAGGTGGGGCCACCTATAGCAGGTTGCCCTGGATCACATCCAGTTAAGTTTTGACTACCTCAAAGGACAGACTTCACCACCTCTACAGGCAACTCACTGCATCTGATCACCCTCACGGGAAGAAAACCCCAAAAAGCTACTTGACTAGGTGGACTTATTCAACTAGTTTTATTTATTAATTTACTAATTAATTACTAATTTGACTAGTAAAACAAGAGGGGAAAGCAGACAAACATATTGAATAAATAAGATGGAAGTTATTTCTGTACTAAATGCTATAAAAATCTAAAAAGTTTTGTTGGCCTTTCAGTACCCACTTAGCCTTGCAGAAGCATCAATTTTCAGAGCAAAACCTCAGTATAGACTGAGACAAATCTGTGGTTAAGGCAGTCAAAGAAACAGGTTCAATCCCTGATCTGTGCAATTCAAATCAGGCCCAGAGCACACAGTTCAGGAGTGCCAAGAATCAGTATCTATCTTGAAAAAAAAAAACATTAACAAGGAGTGAAACTCCCAACAAGTTGTCCATATTGGCAGATTTTCCTGAAATTATTCCCATCAACTTTAAAAAAATCAAAAGACAGCAGTAAGCCAAGGGTCAGTCTACTAAAATACAGTTCTGTATTTGCAAATAGACAGGAAAAACAAAAAATCACATGCCAGATAATATCATTAAAGCACAAAATCTGCTACCGCAGGATATTACAAACAGTTAAAGATCAGCAGTGTAATCCTGACAAGGTGTAGGTGTATTAAAAGAAGTGAGGGTTACCACAATCAACCTCCTCAGTCAGGCCTCCAGCTAAAACACAAGTTGTTACTGGGAAGATTATTTACTTTCAAGGAAATTTAGAAATTTTTTAATATCAAGGTTTTTCTTTTGTCACTATCCAAAGTGCTTTGGCAATTTAGCCTCATTACAAAAAAGAATACATTGGTCACTTCATCATCCACTAAAACACAGCCACAGGCAAGAGTTAAGTACAGTAACTAATATTCAGTAGCTCAACAGTCAAACATTCAAAGTTATAAACTCTAATTAAAAGCTGCGTAACTAATCATCTACAATGGATTTTTTTTTTCTCTTCCTTCTGGAATAGCTGCCTTGAATAAAAAGCAGACAAAAACTTTAAATCTCAGGATCAGGAACCTAGAAACAACAGGGACGTCTGTGCTAAGAAATATGTAAGTAATTATGTCCCAGGGTTTCTTCCTTTACCTCTACAGACATTACTGACAGCAAAACACAAAACTTCTCTTATCCATAGTGTAGAGGAGGCTACAGAATGCAGGACGAAACAGAGTAGCGATGCTGCACACTTCTGTGTGTGTACAGCTAGAACAGTGCAGAGGTTAATCAAAAATATTCCCTGAAAGGTACAGAAAGAAGCAATTCAATAAAGCAAGCAGCTTTTCCATGGAAATCTGGTACCGTTTTATACCCTTCCCTTAACCTCTACATGCACAGAGATGGGCTTACCATGGATCTGACAGCCTCGGCAAAACCTCATTTTTAAGGAGGAAGGAAGCATAACATATGGGGACAGAATGAAAAAGAAGGGAGGAATGCATGAGATTCTGCAAAATTCCAGGAGAAACCATCAAAAACCCAACATGCAAAAGCCAAAAAAACCCCCCTACTTTACTCTCTTACCTTGCTGTCAAAAAGATCAATCCATTTCGTTGTCTCCCAGAATGTCTCTGTCAAAGCTTCTGAGCAGCTCTCATGATCCTCGTCTTTGCATTCTGCATCACTGGAAGCAGCCCCTTCTTGGGCCTGCAGATGAAGAAGCTGGTCAGCCAGTGCACTCCCTTTTCGACAAAGTGCATCCACTAGAGTAGTCTTCTGTTTTTCCATTTCACTAGGGAAAAAAAAAAAAGCATCGAAAATATTAAGGACCTTCTGCAGGTACCTCATTAAGAACAGAATCAGTGTTGCACTGAGTTTAAGCTAAAAATTTTACAGCTGTTAGTACACACAAAAAGAAAATAAGCACGAAGATAGTTTTTAATATATAGTAAGTAGCCATGCTTTAAACTAACTATAAAAAATTACCTACAGACTGCATTAAACAAGCTTAATCATCCTTCTAAGTCTGAAATGCTTGAGGCACGGGCAACTCAGTATTCTAAAAGTGAATAAGCCAGCATCTAGAAATACAGCTTTATAGTTCCTAGCATTATAAACAGAGGGAGTCAAGTCCACCACTAACATAAGCATATACAATTCTGCTGACTTCAAAGAACTGCACCCATTTAAAGCACCATTGAATCTGGTGTTCCGTTTCAGATGCTAGATTCAACCACATGACCTAATGGGTCAACTTACCATGAAATGTTTAGAATTGTTTACTATGTCATAGCTTTGCTTTTATATCAGCAATTCTAGAATTTTACACAAATAGTCAGGATAGCTAGAATGGACAGGCTTATTTGTACAACTGGAATCTAGTAATTTATCTAAAATAATCAACAAATCTCCTGTTTTAAGGACCTCATCTTCACATCTGCTGCTCTGTTTGCAGCTAAAACAGCATCATGCCACACTCTAAAATGGGTGTCACCTTCAAAATACTGTCTTCCTATGGATATATACTGTTAATTCAGAGGAATAGTCTAAAACTAAAGTAAAACAATGGGTCTCAGAAATAAACCACAAGTACAGTCATGCTCTTCACAAATGAAAACTTTTGCAAGCAGTTACTACTTAAACTGCTGCCAATCCTGTCTTGAAATATAGATCCAAAAGGTTGCAAAGCATTATGAAAAGGCAGGTAGCATTCAAAACACATACACCTCTATATCAATATTCTAGAGGTTCCTCTGATCTGAGATTAAGCTTGATACAAAAACTTAATGTCCCATTTTTCTGATGCATGTAAACCCTGAAAGCACCCTTTTTTATTTTATTTAAAATTTCTAAGTAAAAATTCACAGGTTTCAGTGCTTCTGCATTCTGGAGGTACGAGAACAAAATAATTTTGCTGTCAAGTTTGAAATTACCTATGACACAAAAAATAACACAAGTTATTCAAAAAAGTTATAGTTATTAAATTTCTTGAAAGCAGAAGCAAAGTACATAGATTACAGAAATAGGGTGCAAGAAAATTATTTACTGGGTAGGTACTTTTTTATAGTAGTTGCATCAGGCCTGGGATCAGTCTTCATGGCAAAATATACTGCTAATGCTGTCTGATCAATATGAGAAATTACAGTATTTGCAGCTTCAACGATTTCATCAAGTCTTTTCATTCGTTCCTAAAAGAAGAATAAAGAAGGTGTTTAGCACTGTGAAATCACACCACTTGACTGTTGATTCTAACACCAGGATAATTGCAAAAGTATTCAGAAATAACATTAAATAATTAAATATGTCCTCCTCCCCACCTCCCCAATTTTTGATTAAAAAAGTATTTTAAGTCTGCATTATCAAGTTTTCCTGTGTATATAAGTCCATTTCACTGAAAATGAACTGTAAAATATGAAGTAGATGCAAAATGTAGAGTTTACAGAAAGAAAAACACTTTTCAGTAAAAATTAATCCCCTTAAATAATGGCAGCACTTATTCATTTTGGAAGTTAATATAAAATATAGGATCAAACAAACAGAAAATATTCAACATTCAAATACACACAAAGCTGTCTATCTTCATGATAAACAAAAAAAGCAGACACATGTGAACTTTACTGTTCAGGTTACTCATTTTTGAAGACCATGACAGATGGTGGATTTAATTGTGTCATTTCAAGGGGTTAATGTCCTCAGTTGTCCAAGTAATTCCACTGGAAGAAATTACCAATCCAGTAGAGGAGCAGAAGGGGATGTGTGTCTGTCTCAGTAAACACCATTCAGAATAACACTGTTGTAGCATAAAGCAGTAAGGAAACTGTCAATGTGTTTAACTTAACAAGGAGTAAATAATAAGCAAACGTACTATAAGCAGGCATATTTGCTTTCCTTCCACTATGGAATGAAGGAAATCACAGTCAAGTTAGGGAGGCAGCTGCCAATTTAATTAGGATTTTCTACTTTACAGCTACTACAGTCACCTCAAGACCAAACATGTAAAGAAAGGTTCAGTTGTTTAAGTCTGCATGGATGTACTGAGATAAATTAAGTTTAAAAAGCATTAAATAACCTTTTCAGAATCCAGCTGATGAAGTCTTGCAACATACAATGGAAGATGGTTAGGAAATGCTTCTTTCAACTCATTATACATGTCAGTAGTATCCAGCCTAGAAGAGATGAGGACACAGCATGAAAGTACAGGTTCTGAATATTTTTTTTTACAGCTGCTTCAAGCTTGTATAGTCATAAGAGAAGACATACTTGGTCATCCACTGTATTTTCAGATCTCTTAAAGCTTCAGTAAATTCTTCTTTTACATCTTTTTCTTTTTCTTGCTCTCTTTCTTTCTCTTTGCTGCCGTTTTTACTCTTTGATGGTGATGGTATCAGGTGATAGTGAACAGTAAGGACATCCTAGAAGTGGGAAAAGAGACACATACTGAGAGGTATCCAGTACACTTTTTTCTGATGCTATTTAAAAGCTACATCATAGCAAGCAACTATATTCTGAGCTACACAAACATGGAGTAAGGATTCTGAGAGCAAAGGTACCAGTCATTAAGAATTCAGGAACCGCTTTAACTTCGTTTTCAACAATGCAAGGACGTAAATACTACAAGAGCACACTGGGTGTAAGATAAAGTCTTACTTCACTAACTTGGAAAGTCTGATGTTTTTGTATTTTTATAATTTTACACTGTATTAGTTAAGAAACCAGAAAGGTGGAGGGTTTTTTTGTTTTTTCACAATAAAAGCAAACAACTTAGTTAAAAGGCAAAGGGGGAAAAAAAAAGAAATCAGTTAAAGATCCTCTCCTACAAATTTGGAAACAAATGAATAAAGATGACTGAATTCTAAAAAACACCACAGCAGCATGAACATGAAACACGCCATAGGCCACACAAGTATCTTATGTGTTCCTCCCAAGACAGTATTTCTTCCACATGCCTACTGAATTAGCTGATGCATCCACTGTCAACTGTGTTCCAGTTTGCTGCTACAGACTTTCCAGTTTCTCTTGTATCTGTGCTCAAATTCAGTAGATGCAACAGTAGATTTTTTTTTTTTTTTAAACCCATATGCTAGAATAGAAATATCACCATAGTTTGAGTTCATGCTACACCAGTCAACAAGTATCATGAGAAAATCAGCTACGGCTATTTCAAAGGAAGACCACAAGTCATCTTTGACCATGCTCTGAAGTCCATTTCCTACAATGGTTTACTTATAAATTTCCAAATAAGTCAGCTTTAGATTTCAGCCATCATTTCCAAAACATTACAATTGCTAGGAGAGGCCATTTTGTTAGTTTTGGTTTTAATGTTGCAATTTTTGTAAAAGGCTCTCTCCAAACAGCGAGGGCACATCCTGTTAGTTTACATATAAATTATGTTCCCTGCAAAATATTCTAAGTTTACGTCTTCTAGATATCATTACTGTTACAACCTTATGCATAATATTGTGCTGCACGCTCAACTGCTGTGGCAATTTGATTATTCATACCAATCATTCCAAAACGCATTTGTAGGAACGTGCTTCCCATAAAAGGTCAGTGTTGTGTAACAGAATGAAATCTCATGCACAAGACCGAGTTATTTCAGGTTGCTTAAGCAGCGATAAAAAAGTGACTCTTAGAAACTGCTGTGCATAACTTGAAATACTGGACTTCAACACTAGACTTCTGGAATTATTCAAAAACATTGATGCAGAAAAATTTTATTTGAGCTGGTAGTTCAAACAGACCAGCAGCAAGCTATGGGTTACTGAAAACAATACTGGAAAGAGGCAGTGACATCAGCATTCCCTTAAAACATTTTTTCCAGCTACTTAATGTGTAATTGCAATGAATGATAAACTAGACGCTTAATTTTTTTTCAAACCTAGTTTAAATCACTATTCTACATTCAAGTGCAGCTTTCATAGGAACTATCCTGCACACGTGCATTTCAAGCATGAAGTGCATGACCAGGCAGTACACCTAGGCAAGACTTCAGCGAGACCCAGGCCAGAGCATGACCACACAGCTCATGGAGGCAAGCATGTGTAGTGGGGGATACAGAAGTCAGGTACGTGGCATGGGGTAAGGCATCTGGCTGAGGCAATTAGAACAGTAGAAAGCAATAACAGTTCATTAAAGCAAACCAAACATTTTCAAATGCCTGAGAAGTTAGTTCAATACAAAAAATCTCAATCAGTAGTTTACAGTGTTTTTTGAAAGATGTCCTCTATTAATACTGATACTTTCCTATGAAACCTGCCTTCCTAGAAATAGTCTTCTAATATGTCAGGACCATCCTCTCTGATCTTACTTAGCAACATATGTTTAGCCTTCTGCATTCTCAAGCCATGTCTATATGAGAAGGCTCTACTATTCTGGTTTAAGTTTCAAATCAAGCATAATTAGATGAACAAATTCCCACTCATGTAGATGAACTCTCATTTAAGAGACTAATTGTGTGTAGCTAAGCCATCAACAGTAAGATGTCATCTCCCCATTCTCTCAGCTAAGTATTTTTGGTTTCATCAGATTCTGCAAGCATTACAAGCTACAACCATTGAAAAGAAAACAATACACTTCATTCTCCTTTTCCAAAGGAGCTTAAAGAGAAAGAGGCTAGCTCTTCTCTACAGACACCAAACTTATTTAATGGGATAATTGAGGTTTAGGTGCTTATCACATTTAACTGAACTAGCAAAAGACCCTATAGATGGACTGAAGGCTTCTTTCTTTCTTCTATTCTGTTTGTAAACACCAGCACCATTTACAAAACTTGGCAACCCCCTAGATACCAGAAGATCTCAGAATGACATTGTCATTGCCAATAGGGAAACATTCATCATTAGAGATTAAGGAGAAGAAAAGCAACTCTTCACAATTCAGCACTTCAATCTGTTTTCTTATTCAGCTTTCACTCCATTACACAGCAGCAGAACTGCTGGAGTACTGGATTTTTATATATACGCCTATGAAAAGACATAGAAGGCAGTGAGCAAGCATATTATCCATTGAAAAAGTTACTTCAATAAAACTTTCAAATTAATGAGAAAGCTGCCATTTGTTTATCCTCTAAAAAAAAATTAAGCAATATTAAAAACTTTGGAAGCTTACAGGGAATTGGGTCAGTACCTTGTGCACTGCTTGATAAGCCTCAGTGAGTTTGTTTTTAACTAGAACTACAAACGTGAAAACGCACAATGCCCTCCAAACAGTCACCTCTTAAAAGAGCTTAACTAAGTTAATTTTGTTTAACAACTTAAGAGTTTTGTCCAATGATTCAACACCTGGTAGTTTATGTGGGAAAAATACATGAACTATTCTTATTTGTATGTCAAAGCATTCACAGCAAAAACAATTACACTAAAAATATCCTTGAGCAAAGATTCCAGGTCTCATTTTCCATTCAATAAACACCATGCACATCTGCATACACACACAGCTGAATATGCATATGGAGTTTGTATCTACTTTAAGATGCATACAGTTTGTGCAATATTCTTTATTTTTATGGCAATACTCTTAGTTGATGTTTCTTAAAGTCACCAGCCAGGCTTACAAAATTGAATCAGTCATACACTTGATTCTATTTCATTCTATTTTTGAAGGCCTCCTCACTAGACAGGGATAGTGTCTCACTACTGAAAGGAAGTCATTCTTTCCCATTTGACTTCCAAATGGTCTGTATCCCGGGCTGCATCAAAAGAAGCATGGCCAGCAGGTGGAGGGAGGCGATTCTCCCCCTCTACTCCACTCTCCTGAGACCCCCACCTGGAGTACTGTGTCCAGCTCTGGAGCCCCCAACACAAGAAGGACCTGTTGGAGCGTGCCATGAAGATGATCAGAGGGTTGGAACACCTATCCTATGAGGACAGGTGGAGAGAGCTGGGGTTGTTCAGCCTGGAGAAGGGAAGGCTCTGGGGAGACCTTATAGCACCCTTCCAGTATTCCCTGAAGGAGGCCTATAAGAAAGCTGGGGAGGGACTTTTTACAAGGGCTTGCAGTGATAGGACAAGGGGTAAAGGGTTCAAAACGGAAGAAGGTAGATTTAGATTAGATGCAAGGAAGAAATTCTTCACTGTGAGGGTGGCGAGACACTGGAACAAGTTGCCCAGGGAAGTTGTGGATGCTCCATCACTGAAACTGTTCAAGACCAGGTTGGATGCAGCCTTGTGCAATATGGTCTAGTGGGAGGTGTCCCTGCCCAAGGCATGGGATTTGGAACTAGGAGATCTCTAAAGTTCCTTCCAACACAAACCGTTCTATGACAGGATTCTATAATGTATTAGTCTTCCCTTAATACTTACTAGTATCTGCATAATGCATTTCTTGGTTCAAACTGGAAGAAAAGATGGCAGAGTAGGGAGAAAGACATTTTCTATCCCTTAGCTAGTTGTTATATATCGCTGTTCAAAAGCTGCATTATTTACAACAAAAAATATTCTTCTTACAGACTAGAAAAAGTCAATCTGTTTTCATTCTGATTATATTCAGGAAAATATTTGGAAACAAAGGGGAAAAAGTTATCAGATTTTTAACTGCATTACAAAAGGTACATAGGATCAACTTGTCTGCACAGTTGTTTAGCACATGGCTCCCCATTAGAGGCCAAGGATGCTTCTAAGAGTACAGCAGCTTCCCAAGCCACGACAGCAAGGCACTCTCTACTTCAGTGGGGATCAGTTCAAAGGAAAAACAGCACTGAATTCTGCACTTCATACATATCACAGGTTCCATATTCAGAAAAAAAAAAATTCTAAGTCCAGACACAGAAGACAGGAAGACATTAAGTAAAAAGCCATGCTTAGGAGATGGTTTAGGGTTTTTGTTCCCAGGTTTGGAGGGGTTTCTGTTTTTAAATAAAATTAAGTTTCCCAGGATAACTCTTTAAGCAGAAAACGATGTATTAGGCATCTCATCCTGCTCTATGTGTCTAATAAAACAAAGATACTGGCTTGTACTGTGAGGAATCAATTGACATTTTTGTCCAGTTATAGAAGAATTAACCAACTTCTTTGGAAATTTAGGCTGTTATTTCCTAACATAACCTGAAACTGCCTTCATGCAAAATAAAGAAGCTGCTGAGGTCTGGGCTGGATGAGCAGCCAGGTGCATTGAAGCTCATTGAATGGTAAGGTCGGCCCAGAGGACAGTGACCAGCAGCACACAGTTGGAGGCCAGTAAGCAGCTGGATCAAATCCTGTGCAACATCTGCATTAAAGATCTGGATGCTAAAACAGAGCACACACTCAGCAAGTTTGCAGACGACACCAAACTGGAAGGAGTGGCTGATACAGCAAAGCATTGTGCTGCTATCCAGAGGGACCTCAACAGCCTGCAGGAACGTTATGTCAGGAACCTCATGAAGTTCAAGTGGGAGAACTGCCAAGTCCTGCACCCAGAGAAGAATAAACCCACACACCAGTACATGCTGCGGGCCACTCAGCTGGAAAGTAGCTTGGTAGGAAAGGACCTGGGCATCCTGATGGATACCACCTTGAACATGAGCCAGCAACGGGGGCCACTCAGCTGGAAAGCAGCTTGGTAGGAAAGGACTTGGGCATCCTGATGGACACCACCTTGAACATGAGCCAGCAACATGCCTTTGTGGCAAAGAAAGCTAATGGTATCCTGGGCTGCATTAGACATACTACTAGCAGGGTCAAGGGAGGTGATTCTTCTCCACCCAGCACTGGCAAGGCCATGCCTGGAGTACTTTGTCCAGTTCTGGACTCCCCAGTACAAGAGAGACATGTATGTACTGGAGAGAGTCCAGAGAAAGTCCACAAAGATGATGGACTGGAGGACCTCACCTGTGAGGAAAGGCTGAGAAAGCTGGGACTGTTTGGCCAGGGGAAGAGAAAGCATTTGAGGCACAGAGGGGGAATCTCATCTGTCCGAGTAAGAATCTGTAGGGAGTATATGAAGCAAAATCCAGCCTCTCTTCAGTGGGGCACAGTGGCAGGACAATGGCCACAAACAGAAACATGTCCCTCTGGACATGAGGAACTACTTTTTCACAGTGAGAGTGACTGAACACAGAGCACAGGTTGCCCAGAGAGGCTGTGCAGTCTCCACACTAAATGTACAAAAACGCTGTCTGGGCGTGATCCCGGAAACCAGCTCTAGGAAGCCCTGCTCGAGCAGGGGTGTTGGATCAGATGGCTCCAGAGGTTGCTTCCAGCCTCAGCCACTCTGTGGTTCTAAGAAAATAAGTGCCCACCCTAGATTTCTGGTAGCATCATGCAGATAGATACATGTCAACTAGGAAGCCCTCAGAGTTGCATTCTCAGAAAAGTATATTCACTAATGGAGCTCTTATGGCTCAATGCTCTGAAATACATTGTCTTTTATTGACTTGCTGCTAGTAGGTTGATGTCTCTTATGAATAACAGGTAGAAGTATGAAGAACAGTTTTTAATTGGCTTGGGTGGGTATACTGCTCAGATCTGAACACAAGCCTCTGTTTTAAAAACAAAAAGCAGAATATGCAGCCTCTTGGTTCTATTTAATAAGTTTTGTTATGCAAAGTAAATTATTATTAAGAGTTTAACTCCTTTGTTAGAGATTTAGTGAGGATTTTATACCCTGTTCATCAGGCAGCCACGCATTCACATGGGATTTTAAAATAATCTTTCTAAAAGTGATCTGTGTAATTTTCAGATGCAGCATGAAAATAAAATTGCAGCAAGTTGCATTAAAGTCCTTCTCGTAAAGGTTAATCACATTCCCTCACAGTTATTACACCAAGAGGGAGTTAGCAGGCACAGTTACCAGTTCATTATTAACAAAATCATAGATTATAGCAATAAACTGTTATTTATCATTCTCATGCCTTATTTCTAACACGGATCCTGACTAATTAGCATGTCACTCCAGAACACAGTACCTTGAAACAAAAGGATATAAACAGCCTCACAACTTAAAAACAACACAAGAAAAAAACTCCACCAAATAGCTTTATGCAGGTAGACTATTAAAATAGTATTTGGGGGGTTATTTTATAGAATGTTTTAGTCTCTGACTGCTGGCAGAACATTGTATGATCTAATGTAAAATTTGAGAAAGCACAATATTAAACACTGCTATGGTAAGTCACTCACTCCCTACCCAAAATATTTCATACATGCTCCAAAATTCTGTCATCTCTACTACCTACTACATCACTGTATAAATGCCAGCCTGTAACAAGGTACATTCAAGTAGAACCATGAACTGAGAGACTTTTCAATCAAGTCCATCCCTCCTAAGAAAAAAACCTACTTACTACAGTATGTTTTGTACACCTGTAATGAAGCCAGCTCTCAATTCACCAGACTTGGTATACAGCTAGACATCAAATTCTACATCAAAGTATTATGTTCATATTCAGTTCTCAATCTGCTGACAGAATAAGCTAGGCAGAAACACTTGCCACAAAATCTTAACCACAAACACTGGAGATTCATGAATATTTAAAAAAAAAAGAAAAATTACAGACCACTAATCATCACATGCATTTTTACAGCACTCATTGGAGAAGCATCCAGATGCTCATGTGCCTCTCAGCTTTGTACTGCAGCAGTGTTTTGTCACTCTACCAGTAGACACACTTAAGATGCTGAAGAACTAAGGAAGTAGATGAGGGATGACAAATGAAAAACCAATACTGGTAGACAAATTCTTCAAGTCATATGCAAAAAGACTTAAGTATATCTTTTTCAAAAACTAACATTCAGTACCTTTTTAAATTTTCCTTGTCGCTTTGCTGCAGACTGCCCCTGGGAGTTAGAATAACATACTGTAAGAAAACATGCACACACCACACAGGATGGAGACACCTTCTCTGTACAATTACAATTACACTTTCAGCCTACAGATTTTTAGAGTGTCACATCTATGATCAAACATGCTCTTTAAGCATGCTATTTCAGGTTTTTAAAATAAATAAAACAATACATTAGTGTGTATAAAGTTTGTTCTTCCTGTAAGACAAGCAAGTGTTGTTAACCACTTAGCTTAAATAATAAGTTACAGAAATTCAGCCTCAAAAGTATAGATTGTAGATTTTGACTGTTTAGTGGCATTGTTCTATTCCATAATAACTGTGCAGAAATTAGATACCTTTTCCCCTCACACCGCATCCACTTGCTGACCTAGAGACAACTTTGTTGCTTAGTTCCCTCTTTTTTTTTTGTTTGTTTGTTTGTTTGTTTTTTTGTTTCCCAGTACATACTGAGGTTCACTGAAGGCAGAAGAAAGTATCTGATGCTATTTGATACCATCCTCTTTGGAGTGAAACACGACCATAACAGTAATGTCTTAGACTATGACATGAGGCACACTTCAGCTAGAATTTCTCTGTGCAAGCTCTTGGGTATTCTTCATCACATGAAATTTGACAGACAATACCTACCCACCTCCTACTTCCCATCCCAGAAATCACTGCATATAACCACTTGGTCTGGTTTTAAAATAAGATAGATGAGAATTACAATCAACCGTTCAAGGAAGTGCAGATTCAAGTTAGGAAAACTATACTACACTACTATAATGGATTTACCATGGATTTCATGAAAGTATACTTGCAACCTTGCAGGACTCAAATAGAAAATGAAGTATTTTACAGTTCTTAGTTACTGGGTTTTCCTCCCTGATACATAAATTCTCCTGAAAGGCACTATCTAACCTATAGTTACATGCAATCTGTCCCAAAAGTACTGCCTATAAAGAAATCAGATTGAATGAACTAAAGTTTTCTACTCAACAAGATCTAAAGGTATGTGCCCACCTACTCAAACTTCTTTTGTATGAAAACATACTCTAGTTTTATACATGCTGTTCAATCACATCTAATAATATATGGACATAGATGAACTACCCCTAAGTACTAACAAACACCAGGATTGACTAATATTTATTCTCAGTTTTGCTATCTATTTAAAAATAGCTTAGAGAATCTAATTACCTTAGCACCAGATAGACACATGAGTGATCTGGTTACTGTAATCACTGTTGCACTACAGATTCATATAAGTTAGAAACCAGTTTTTAGAGAATACTGCATTATAAGCAAAAAAAAAAAAAAAACAACACTACAGCTTTTTTTCTAGCATTACATACAGAGATCTTATATCATTTTGTTAGAGCATACAGTCACGTTAGTGGTTGACAACATCAGTGTGCAGCAGGTAAGAATGTCTACTTATGCTCGAGTCAGCAAAATTCCTACTACTTTGTAACAGTAATGTAAATGTGTTAAAAAAAGCACATATTTTTGTTGAAAATTATATGCATGCAAGGAAGAGTATAGCTGTCTAACAGAGAATCAACATGCACAAGACAATATAGATGCTTAGTATAATTTTTGAATGAAAAATACGTGCTAGGCCATGACAAAATCACTTTCAAAAGCTCCACACCAACAACAAAGCAGTTGCTTCTAGAAACAGAAGTCGGAGTGAAAGAACGAGAACTCAAAATTTAGAGCATGCGATTATATTGGAAATTATAAGATGAAAATAAAAACAGAACTGCTTAGAAGTTACATAATGAAACAACTGCTTCCAAAATGTGTCAAGTTACTAAACATAGTGCTCTTCAAAGTACTAAAACCATTAAATACAACGCTTCCTGGCACGCCATTTATTCACTTCAAAAATTTCAGAAAAAGAAGCCGTTGTCCATTTGAAATACTTACAGCTTTCTTTCCCAGTTCTGTTTTAGACAGTGTAAGAGCTCCTGCAAGATAACATCCTGGGCCTGCTCCTTTAGGTATTCTATTTAAAGAAAAAGTTCACCGTTAAAACCAAGTTAATTCGTGTTCCATGGGGACTACAATAAAGAACACAAACAGTGAAACTATCAACACAAGAGGAATTACCAAGCCTAAACAGGTCAACGCTATCAAAGTAGCATTTCAGTTGGGTGCAGAGGCAGCTGGTTAGTTGCAGCTGAGAACAATAGGTTGTCAGTCACTTACTTGTCATCAGGCAGAGATGTAACAAAGAATGGCTGACTGTGCTTTGGTGGTAATGTCAAACTGTTGGATTTCTTCTTCCCTAAGAGAGCAAGGCTATGGTTCTCATAAATATCTAAGCTCAAGGTACTAGACAACCTGTGAGAAACAATAAATGGAAGGTCTTTGATGCGATCCAGCTCATTGTTCTGTTCGTGACGAATTTGTAACCGAATGGTGTAATCTCCTTTTTCCAGTTTCACAGAATACTGAAAGAAAGAAGTTCTCATAAATGTCAAGATTAAGTACTTCACTAGTCACAAAGAAACCCAGAAATAAGACTGTCATTTCCTTCATGATTCATACAGCTCTAACCATTTAAAATATGCTAGGTTGCTTAGTTTGGGGATCTCCTGAAAATAGAGAGCTTCCAAGACTTCATAGCAGACAAAACACATTTCTGACTGACCAAAGAAAATTTTTAGACCACAAAATAGGCTGACATCATTTGTTCCTATTCCTACACTGCATTAACTGCTCAAATAATGATTAGAATTCTTCCTACACTTTCAGTTCAAAATCTTCACTGGGTTTGTCTTGAAACACTTCCAGCGTACTATGTAACTTTGGGTGCTCTGTGGTTTAGATCACAGGGTATCCTGCTACCATATCAAATCTTGTACCAGCTTTGACACTGAGGGCCTCCATATTCCTGTGAGATTTAAGGCTGCAATTTAAAGAGCTGACAGACTCTTTGCCCTGAGGTTTTAATATATTCAATTAGGAATATACAGATAACATCCCCTTCATTTATTAAAAAAAAATAGTACAATAAAAAAAACCATGCGCGCCCCCTCCCCAACATGCAACAACAACCACCCCCAAACAGACTCTCAAACTCTTAGTTTTGAAAACATTCTTTGATTTCTATCAATCTAAAAGGGCATGATGTGGATGTTTGGAGCAGCAGCATGCCAAGTTTCCTTTCTGCTGCTCCTTTCACAAGTCAGCCCTAAGTGGAAAGGGACAGTAATTGAGAACCACTTTGCTCCCAGATTCTCTCTCCTAGGTTAGAGAATCATGCTTCCTGTTGGTATTTCTTCCTGGATTAAATAATTCTGAATTACTTTAGAATTGTTCTATGATGCACAACACTAGGGATTTACAGGGCTACCACGTGTGAAGTAACAGACTGCTGATTTTTAGATTTTGTAGCACCTTAAAAATGGAGGTTAAGGAATAGAAATTTAAACAATGCAATTTCTGAAATTAAAGATTCAAAAGACACTTTAAAGTTGATCTTTTGTACACTTCCAAAATGATCAATCAAAATAAATGCTACATTGCTTTGAAACTATTTTTTAATAATTCAAAATTGCAGTTGAGCTTCATCAAAGGACTATAGAAAATATTTCTGTTATGCCTTTTATATTTCCACCTTTCCAACTTCAATAGAAAAGTTCAAGGTACATCTTTGTAAAAAACCCGAACAAATCTAAGAATAACTTGGATTCATTACCTTCTGGAAAAGTAACAGTCAAAAAATCACAAGAAATCACAAGATAACAGCTTTTTGTAGAAATAAAACACACCATAACTCTCTCCTTTCTTGGAAGACAAACTAAAAATAATAATGTCCTATTTCATGGAAAGAAACCTGTCAGTTTTTTTCCATACATCACTGAACCTGTCTTCTTATAAAGATATAAGAACATTATAGCCATGCATCAGGAAATTTTAGGAGCTACCAACAGGTGAAAAAGGAAATTTTTTCACATTGTGCAGAAAACAGAAGGTAAAACAAACACATTACTCTGTACCTGGTGTGGATATGCATCTCCTGAACCCATTTGTCTTTTGTTCTGATCAAAAATAATCCACAGCTGACTATCAAATTCAGATTCATACAACAATTCACAAAGAAGCGGGCAGCTTGGAGTTACTTCTCCACTCTTGGGCTATTAAAAGAAAGGTCAAAACATTTAATCCACTACTGAATAGAACAAGTACAATACTTACACATACTGAAAAGGGTACCTGAACACAAGCCCATTTCAAGCAACAGTTACTCCTCACAGGAACCAAATCAGAATTTTGACAGTACAGAGTCTAGAGTGTGAATCTAGACCTGGTTTCTGATAGACAGCTAGTTAAAGTCCGGGGTTAGAAAACATGCTGTATCTATTAACAACTTTAAAAAAAGAACAACTACCCTTAACCCTTACCTGATGGAAGTTATAGGTCAAAATCATTTCATACAGTTGACGATTGTTTGGTAAGATATCTCTGGAGCCCAAAGGTTTTATTTTTGCACTCACTGGTCTGCAGTCACATAAAAAAAAAGAACAGAAAGTACTCTTAAGAAAGATGTATCCTCTACAGTAATTTGCCTTGCTTAAGTAGAAGTGTATTGTTATTGCAGATGTTGAATTCATTTGTACTTCACATAGTAGAAGTGTATTGTTATTGCAGATGTGAAGTACAAATGAATTCAACACCTCCTGAAATCTCTCTTAAATTTCTCAGTTAAAATGAATGTCAGTCCAAACCCAAGGTTTAGCAGCATTACAGACATTGCCAAAGAAAGAAGCAAAAAGAACTTAGCAAGCACATCTAAATGCTGAAAATTAAAGGCTATGTCAAAACAAAACAAGACAAAACAAAAACAAAAAAGAAGAGAAAAAAAAAAAATCAGACTTCAGGATTAGGAAAGAAAAAAAAAAAATCAGGTTACATTACACATGTAGCATCCATGCTGCAATGAGCACTTTTATACTGGTCTGGCCCAGCACAGATACTTTCCTGGGTGACTAGAAATGGTGCTGGGTCAGTCCATTTCACCTAGGTTTCCAGTATGGCAGACACCAGATGGACTACAGACAAAGAACCAAGTAATATCATATGTGACATGTCTCTCTAGTACTCACCCTGCCTCCAAGCATTTGAAACTCAAGAGACTGAATGAGAAGATATTCTGTACTTCAGCTCTGTGTTATGACTCATTACTTCATTCAAGAGGAGCTATTCAAGTCTTAATTTAGATTCTTAAATATTTCTCATTAGTTTACTCAACAGCAGTTCTACTGTCAGGCAAGTGCCTCATATTACATAGAAATAAGAGCACTTCCATTTTACAAACCAAAATGAGGCAAAGATATATTAGGGGATTATTTTATTTCCTCACTCAAGGCATATCAAATCAGGTATTTCTGTATCTGACATGGTGGCATACCCATGAAACAAACTCCTTGTGACGACAGTTCTGGTTCCAAGTATCCAAAAGGCCCAGACAGAGAACAAGGTCTCCACCAAGAGGCCCAAATAATGGACTTTGAATTACCGACCACTATGACATGGTCTGGCCCAGGTCTTAGAAGTACTGCTTGAACTGTCATGCATTTTTTTAACTCCTCAAGTGACTCACTTCAGTAATGCACTGGTTGGGAATTTTTGAACAAAGCTTTCCTTCCAAATCAGCATGTGTCAAACTGACAATGAGATAAACACAAGTTGCCACACAAAATTCTGGACTAGATCCTAACAAAAACACTTCCAACCAAGCAAGAGAATGAAGATAGTCTTCCACATCAAAGTTGGCTGGGATCTGAAGCAGCTGCTTAAAAAAAAACCCTAAACAACAAAGAGTAGCACCAAATAACTACAATTTGTTTCTTTAAAGTGCCTTTTACCTCTATGGGTCTCCTTGAAAGCAATGGAATATTTTTTGTAAATGTTTGTTTTTTAAGTTAGCTTAAGGAAAAAAAATTGCTACAGAAAAAGTCACCATAATTCTCAAATTGTGTCCAAGTTAAAAGGAACAAAAAAGAATGCTGAGAAATTTTAACCAATGCTGTAAACCCACCTAAAAGTTTACAAGAACATTGTTGTTATCCTAAATTTCACTGTTAACTTATTACTGTTTTAACTACACACAAATAGTTTTCCCTTTCCACAACACAGTTCCCCAGAAACTTTACCTGAGTGTTTGAACCCAGCTTTTCAGATTTATGCAGGGAGCAATATCTTCATACTTCAACAGGGACTGAACATCAAATCGTACAATGCCTTCTGAAGCATGCTAAAGAAAGTATATAACAGTTATGCTTCTGTGCACTTTAAACACCATATATGGACCATCTGATACATCCCTCAAAAATACAACACAAGCTGTATTTATCTATAAGAAGCAATACTGCATGTCACAAGGTTATCTGTATTTTACAACAGATACACTGAGATTTGTAAAACTTTAGCAATTGGAGTTAAAGGTTTTTTTTTTTCCCCTCTTAAAATACTTTGCACAGAACTGTACACGGCACACTTCAGGTAGGGCTGGGCTTTGTGCCTTTGTGATGATTTTCTTCAAATATGTAATTTGATAAACACAAGTATTATTCATCTAGAACCTTAAAAAAAAAGTATTTTATGGTGCTTCTGCTCATGATTATTGTTACGGAATAGTTTAACTTTGGAAAAAAGGAACAATACTACATACCTAGGCTAGTGATGGGCAAAAAAAATCTGAAAACTTTTTCTAGCAGTATCCCAGAACAAAGTCACCAGTGTATCAGCACTATTAAAGTTTATTTTATGAAAGTTACAAGTGTTCAAGAACGAAGGGCAAAATTGTTTGTCTTTTCTCATTTTTAAGTCCATTATTCAGCTCATGTAATGCTGCTGGGGTGGGAGGAGCTGCTGTGCACACCACCACCACCAGCTCTTTCTTTTCCTCTCTATTATTTTTCTGTTGTGGTTCGTTTTTTTGTTTGTTGGTTTGGTTTTCTATTTTTTTTTCCTTACTGATTTATAAAGAAAACAGTGAAAAAAAAATCAGATAATGCTAGTGAACATTTCTGTGTGACTGCACTCCTATTTACCTATTTTTAAGAGAAAACATGAACATCTCAGGTATAAAAATACTTCTAGTCTTTCTAAATACAGGCAAGAATGAAGAAAAGCATTTTTTAATTCTGAGATAACCTAGGACTTCAGAATAATTCAAAATAAATACTCAGGAAGACTTACCATGTTTAGCTGAGGAGTGGCACAAAGTACCCCATGGAAGGAAATGGTGTAATTAATGCTAACGTCGCTAAGGCTTGCCCACCACCGAGCAACGCAGAACTCAATGGTTTTTCCAGCCTGGGCAATAAAAGCACCAAGTTAGACTCAGGCTGCCACTTTCCCCTTCTATTCAGCCCAGCCTCCCTCATCCCAAGCCAGAAAAAATAAGACGCATAGCTCAAAAAAGACACTGTTACATCCAGTTTCCTTCAGCTGTATAGGTTCATACAGTACCAAGATAGACATTATACTTGGTCCAGAAAACACAAGACAGCTCCAACAAAAGAGGATGACTTGTGACTGCATGGAAACAGACTGCCAGGGGTATACCCCACAGAAAATGGTATAGCTTTTAAATATCACGTCTTCCTTTCCTACACTTCACATTCGTCAGACTAAGCACACAAACTCACTGATGTGCCCTACAAAACATATCAGAAAAAAAGAGATCCGCTCTCTACCTAAATAACATGACATAAAGCTTGGGAGGTGTGGGTTGGGTTTTTTTGTTGGTATTGTTTGGTTTTGGTTTTTTAACTAGTGAGATAAAATTCACAACGTGTCAGTGGGACAAACTTTGCCACCTGACATTTTCATAGAGGTTAAGGGACTGAAAAGCACACAAATCATAACCTCTCTTAGGCTTAACTAAATGAAGCAAGGCAGGGGACAAACTTAAGAAGCGGACTCTGCCATGCACACCTCTGAATTGTTAGCTCACTCTCTGGTTCTGTTTCAGACTCTTAAGCTAGCACAATTCAAGCTGAGCCTGTTCTATCTAAGCAGTATGAATGTAAGTGATTCAGTTACCACCTGGCTTCAACATGATGGAGATGTCCCAGATTACCACATGAAGCACTAAAGGCGAAATACGCTCAACTACATCTATCCAACAAGTCATAGACCCTACCAGAAAATAAAACAAACTGCTTTGTATAAACAAGCAGCAACCAATTGAAGAGATTAACATGTATTATAAGGGTATTGCCAAATAATTAAGAAATACTAGCAAGGTATCAGATATCTTTTCAAAACTGAAACCCAGATGCATTCACTACTGTAACAAGTTTCTCGGGTTGGGTTTTTTCAAAAGAAAACCCCCAAAACAACCCAAACTGAATGAGTTCTGTTATACTGCACTGATATATTACTTTCTTTTCCCCCCCACCAATCAAAGGTAACTTACTAAGACAGGAAATGCTTCAGTCACTGATCCTTTTTCTGGTAAAGATGAAAATTTGTAGAACTCATGGCTTCTGTATGCTTTTTGCTTCACTAGCTGAACAGCATGCAGCACAAACTTGGCAGTCACATCAGCTGAACATGAACATACTGTCACTTCTAGATTAAAGAAAAAGAAAAAATTAAGTTTAGTTTCAAGAGCAAAGAATTTTAAAAGGGAAGCAGAGGTTCAGGAGAAAAACACGAGTTTTGCAAGTAATTTGTAATTTAAGAAGTTATGCAGTAAGCCAAGTGGCTCCATATGTAAATAATGCTTATACATCAATTATTTACAAGGGCCCTTTCAAAATAAGGAAAACTAGCTACGTTCAGGGAGCAGTTAAGAGAAACGTGACTCAGCCAAATGGTGAAAATAATCAGCTAGTACAGATGTATAACCTGTACAGGACAGACTGCTGTCATTTCCCTTACCAGCCCACGTAGCTCCCTGTGGAACATCAATGAAGTGCCTTCGGATTTGACCAGGTTTAAAATGAACATCTGTATATGTCAGGTCATAGCTCGATGACTCATCTACTCTGTATGTCATAAAGAAAACACAAGTAGTAACCAAACAAGCTGAAGGCCTTTTTAAAAAAAAAAAATGCAAAAATTCTCAAAAAAGTGTACAACAAGGCTATTTAGTCCTCAGCACCAATTATTAAATAGGTACTAGTACAGAATCTGATAGGACAATTATAAAGATTTAAACAGCTCCAACACATTATGTTGACACCCTCCCCACCCCTCCGAAGATACTGTACTTAACATAAGTATTAAAAAATCCTAGTTTTCAGTGTATCTGCTTTTCCTGGCTGAGTGACTTTCCACTAAAATGAGGTAAACTATACAAGAAGTAATATTTCCTTGAATTAGAAAAAAGTGATTTTTTTTTTCAATCAGGGCAGACTGTCCACTGAATAGGTTTAATAAGATACTCTCCTTTCTTACTAACATCATTGAAATCATATGTTTAAGCCAACGATGGGCACAATACTAACTGAGAATTTGCTGTATTAAAGTCATGATGGAAGCTTATCTCACTGTTCACCTGCCAAGCAATTCCCCCCATCTTTATGAACCCCAGTTCATCAGTCAGAAATTAAAAAACAAAATTCCAATTCACCTACACCCATGAGTATATTGATTGATACTTTGGTCAACAAGCCAGAAGTCATCTGTATACTGATGGACGAGCAATCTGCTTCCACAGTGGCTAAGCCCACCAGACCCTCTGCCTTCTGGCTGCTGGGACCATAACTACAAAATATCCACTGGTGTATCAGTCTGGTGCAACCTTATCAACATTAGTTCAAGAACTCCCAGAGGAAGAAAGTGGTGAAATAAATTACAACAAGTAAAAAGGGCACAGAAAACAAAACTAAACTTAAAAAAAGCAGATAAAGCCTGAGGTTACTGACCTTGTTGGTATAACAACAGTTATTGGAACTCTGAACAAAGGACCTGCATTAGGCATTGCTATATCATATCCACATACCTAACAGAATAAAATACAGACACTTAAAATCTCTGGTTGAAATGAAATCACAGAAGACATGATTAAACTTAAACTAGCTGCAGAGTATTTTGAATCGTGGTAGTTACTACTGAGAAAAAAAACAAACTTCATTTAACCACTGTCACCCTAGAAATAGTAAACCAGCAACATTCATCAAGGGTGGAAAAAAAAGTTTTGACACTGTTACTCATTTCAGCCTTTTCCCAGACTTTTTCAAGGTTTCAACCCACATTTTGTAAGTCCCCTATATCAAAAGTCCAACCTAGTTTCAACTCAGAATCTGTCCCAAACAGCCTTATTACTTTAATTACTCTATTTTTGCTGTTGTAAAATAATATTTTATCCTTGTTTTCCAGGATTATGCTTGAGAAAATACAGTTTGATTTACCATGCCTTTTACAGCCAAGCTTTAAATACTACCTCTGAAAATCTGTTCCATTATCACTTTGCTAAGATATTCTCAGTGGTTCTCACAGAAGACTTGCATCTCTGAGCATCTTAAGCAAGTTCTAAAAAGTAAGCTGGTATCACCTTCATTATGATCAACTGCAATGCAACGGAAACATTTCAATACTAATACTACGTTTGGGATGAGGAAGGACAGGGCTGAAAAATATTTTTTGCTGGTGGGTTTCTTTTGAGGAGTGAAAGAAGATGGCTGAGAGAGAAAATGAGACACTAAATGGATGTTGTTTTAAATTTGACCAAATTTGAATGTAGCCACTTGAAGTCAGCAAAACGTTTCTGCTGTACACAGCCATTACCACACATTTATGTTCTTTACCTGCCAAAATAGGATGGTGTAGAGGTAAAGAAACAAAAAAACAGGTTTATCACTGTACCCAAGCAACTCCTCAAAGTAAAGGAAAATCTTGGGTCCTTAAAACACTCTATGGCATAATAAAAGCAAGGCCAGTTATTAAGCCACCAGAGAAGGAGAGAAACATTTAACACCACATAAAAACACAAATCTCTATCCTCAGTAATAATACAGGACTGAGCCAGCTAGACAAAGGTAAAAATATATCCAGAGGAAAAAAATCTTAATGAACGTTTATTTGGTTTATATTTCTTATATGCTTTCATTTTTTAAGCACAGATACTCAACGTCTCATTGGCATGTGCTACACACCACTGGATAGTGTAACTGATGCTGAACCCTGGATTAAGCCTGTAAGTGAAAAGGTGTGGCAGTATTTTCTGGTCTGTACAGTACACAGCTTTTATTTTCTCAAAAATTACTTTTATAAAAAGCTGATAGAGACCACAAGAAAAGGAAAGGGGACACAACTTTGTTTAGAACACCAGTACTTCAATACCTCTGTATAATGCAGTCCTTCTCTCAGACCACGTGGATCTACACGAATGTTTATGTGTCGACACTGGTTCATAAGCTCTAAATGACTAGGACACTGGACCCATGATGCATTTGAAGCTAAAGCTAAATGAAGCTGTAGAGATATTCTTTCAGTGTTTTCTGTCAAGAAAAAAAAAAATTTAAGAACAGTTCAGTAACATAAATGTGTTCATATTCTACTATAACAGTATTTGCCACTAAAATGTACACATCAGTCAAATGTAGTGGGAACCAATTCCTTAGTGTCCCCAGATGTCAGATTCTCCACACAGGACAGTCTTCTATATTATCTCTTTTACCCTGAGAAAACCAGAAGAGCAGTAATGTACAGTAAAATAAGGGTTGAACCCAACTTTGAAATTCCCCCCCCTCCCCCCGAGGCAGTTAAACCTAAGTCAAAGAGAGGCCAAGAAGCAACCCACAGTTGCACACAACATAGTCTGGAAGCAGGTAAAAACTTTCTTGTATAGATACTAAGTCTTGCCAAATACAAAGAAATACATAAAAAAACAAAAACCAATTGCACCGATTCTGAATGTTATGCTAATTACCAAATTACATTATAGAGTAACCTAAGCAAGAGGTAAAGTCTATTAAAAAAAGTTACTGTGATAATCTAGTCTGACTTGGCAAACAGCCAGTTTAGTCAAGTTTGTAAATTAGCTTCCATATCTAAAAAAGCTACAGGTTAAAGCACAGCTTCCAGAAAAGCTTCCAAATCTACTTGAAACATTTTAGGGATTAAAAAAAAACAGTTTACTCCTGCTCTAAAGATTAACACCTTGAAAAAATTTTCCACATTTCCTAGTTCTAATGAACCTTAGCTTAGTTCTCCAACATTTCATTACATCTTTGTAAAGCAGAGAAAAAAGCAGTTTTCAGATGCAATTCCCTCAAAAGTACATGAGAAGTAATAAAAGCTCAAAAAGAACTTGACAGACCAAACAGATCAGCCTCCATTCTTACTACAGCTTCTCAAAATTAAATGTGTTGTTGAAGACACCAGACAGCACAGAAATAACAGTTGGGCAGGTGCTAGGG